GCCTTCATTTCCTCCTGTTTGGACTGCTGTAACTCACCCTCTCAGGCAGTTCACTGCTGCAGTATGCTGTAGGATTGGTACTCACATATTATGCTATCAACCCATGTGTTTTGGATGGTTACTACCTTGTGCTTTAATTTCTGAAATCTTCAGTAACTTGGTCTCTTAGATGTATCAGAAAGCTTGAATTTGTTGGCAGATTTTTCACTGGATTCCACCTTCTAAATCAGTGTGCATTGACACAGTGATCTTAAGGGTCTTTTTCAACCTAAATGATTCTATGATCATAGGCAATTGCTTCCCTGACAGGTGTAGTGCCACTCAATGTCAGCTCTGTCTGCTGCAGTAAATTTTTCATTCGCTTTTAATTCCAGATTCTTCCTTCCTCAAATAAAAGGTTACATGGTGAGTGATTAAAAATAGTGCTATTAAGTGGGTAGAAATTGAATGAATATGAGGGACTTGAACAGGGAGGAAGATCATATTTTTTTGCAAAAATTGATGCCACTTAGTTCTGCTGCCTGAAAGATGATTATAGTAATTGAAGTTGATTGCAATTAGACCTTCAAATTTGTATTGCTTTGAATGGAAGCATTTTTATTTAAATTCATCACTCATTATGCCTTTGCATTTACTGTTCAAAGTCTGAGGACTGCATAATTTACAAGAAAGAAAATAAGTCACTGAACATAATGGGCTAAACTTCTAAGAATACCCTCAAATTTCACCTGTAATTAATCACTCAACACTCAATTGCAGACATAAATGTTAGCATTTACACATATAACTGCATGCAGGCACAGGCAGACAGAACCTTTCAGTGTTGTCACCCCTGTTAGGTTTCAGGCAAAAGAAATAAATGGAAATACTTTTCTTATAAAGGCCAAGTGACTTACTGTTCCATAGCATTACAGTGGCAGAGTACTAAGAGCACATATGTTCTATTCATGTTTTTATGACAGAAATAACAAAACACAAGGCTGGAGATATATGCATGTTGTAGACTTGATTTATGTACAGCTGTAAACAATTTTTAGGGCTGGATATTTGTTTCCTTGTGCGTGAGTGTTAGTTTTGCCTTTAACTTACCCAGAATGAGTGTGTGGACTGAGGTCAGCAGTGGCTGCATGTTGCATCCCGTGCTGTAGCCACGGGATGCAAACTGCAAAGGTGTGAAAAGGCCATGAAGGACTCTGTGAGCAGAGAGCTCCCCTGAAGAAGCTTTCTTTTTGCAGAACCAATAACTGTGGTATAATGGCCTTTGGCATTGTGAGAAACTGTTTCGTGGGAGGAAAGATGCTTTGGAGTATGTGATTGTCATGGTTTAACCCCAGGCAGCCACCAAACACCACACAGCCACTTGGTCACTCCCCAACCTGGGGGATGGGGGTGTGAATTGAAAGGGTAAAACCTAGAAAAACTCATGGGTTGAGATAAAGACAGTTTAACAGAGAAAGCAAAAGCTGCACACACAAGCAAAGCTAAAAAAGGAACTAATTCACTGTTTCCCATGGGCAGGAGGTGTTCAGCCATCTTCAGGAGAGCAGGGCCCATCATGCGTAACGGTTCCTTGGGAAGACAAACGCCATCACTCCAGGCGTCCCCCCTTCCTCCTTCTTCCTCCAACCTTATATACTGAGCATGATGTTCTATGGTATGGAATATCCCTTTGGTCAGTTTGGGTCACCTGTCCCAACTGTATCTCCTCTCAATCCCCCATGCACCCCCAACCTCCTTGCCAGCGTGGCTGTATGGAACACAGTAAAGGCCTTGGCTCTGTGTAAGCTCTGCTCAGCAGCGACAAAAACATCTTCATATTATCAACCTTGTGTTCAACACAAATCCAAAACATAGACTCATACTAGCCAGTGCGAGGAAAATTAACTCCACTTCAGCCCAAACCAGCACAGTGGTGCAGTCACAGTGATACTTCATCTAAAATACAGCAAATCTTGAGCATTCCATGCAGAAATGGAGAAGTTTTAAAAACAAATGAGAAAGAAACCACAAGAGGCAAAAAACAATAATTGAAATAATGTGTATCTTTTGGGCTGTCATTTTAAAAATCCAATGGATGTAACTAGTTTAGAGTAAGTTTTAGCTTTATAATTTGCCTTGGCACTTTTTACATGGTTTCCCTTTCCCAACTTCCACGTTTTTCAGCCCTCCCAAGCCATGTTTTGTTCATTTGGGTATAATTCAGTCCCAGTTCTGTAACTTAGTGCCAAAATAATTCTCTGTGGGCAAAGAAGTGAGTTTGTGATGAAGGCAGAGACTGGTCTTTATGGCCAGGTTTGTACTAGTTGGAGATCAGCCAAAGGCTATTCTGGGGTCCCAAGGCCAAATGACCTGGCACAGCTTGTGTCCATGCAACTAAATTAATTAACATCCCCTAAACAGGATGATCTAATCCCAACTTATTGCTAGGAATACTTTCTGACCTGACCTATCTTTTTTGAAACTGTGCCTAAAACCATGCCATATGTTTTTCTGTACAGGCAGAGTCACATGCAGACCTCCACCTTCACCCTATCTGTGGCTGATAGTTGTGGGTCTCATCTTACCAAGCTGGGTCAGGTGCAGGCAGTGGCTGGCACAGGTCTTCTCTGTGAAATCCCATTAATTCTAACTCTTGGGCTTTGTGATACTAAGCTTTTCAAAGCTCCATTATGGTCTTCAGGTGTTGTACTTGTACAGACATGCTGATGGAAAAAAACACAGAATTTATGGTTTTCAGAGAATAAGTAGAAAATGAAACTAACTGAGGAGGAGAAATGCTTTATGTATCTCCAATAACAACAAATTAGAGAACTGAAAATACTGGCTTTCTTAATATATATATATTTTGATACATTATTTTCTACCAAAATGTTTCTAAATTTAGGTGAAAACTTTCACAATGGAACATGCCAGAGAAAAGCCACACTCAACACAAAACATTTGTTATCAGAGATCTTAGGGCAATAAAATTGAAGGTGCAATGTACAAAATTATTGTGTTTATCAAATACTTTTTAAATCAATCCACCCATGGTCCAATGAGAAAGAATGCCACCAAACTCTCTTTCAAATGAAAACTAGATTAAGCTCTGGGGAATCTTTTATAAAAGATGTTAGGTATGGATGTCCTGCAGCACTTTCCTGATCTAAGAGTGACATGGTTTTCATAAGACCTACCTCCACTGATAAAAATGACATGAAGGGAAAGTAGCTGAAGGTATGGCCTACTGAATGCCATGGCTTAATGAGCATGACCTTTTCAGTCACAGAAAGTTGACTTGATGGAGAAAATTATTGATAGATGCATAAGTAATGTTACAGACAGGTCTAATGGAACTTACATGCTGTTTGCAATAATTATGCTGTCAGTAGCTGAGTAATCTTACAAACTGTGGATAGACAGCTGAGGTAGCAGAGCATGTTTGTTTTTATTGTGTATACACATTTGCTTTTACAACACCAACAGGTAACTTTCATTCAAAAATCAAAGACACTTGGTGTTAATGAGTAATAGTTTCATTTGCTTCATTTTTATCTCTGTTGTCTCCCTGCAGGTCAAAGCAACAGATGCAGATGCTGACCAGTTTGGTGAAATTGAGTATTCTCTTTATGATGGATTTCATTTTTATGAAAAATCTAAAGCCTTCCAGATTGACCCACATACTGGTCAGATCTGTGTGTCTCAAGACATTGACAGAGAAGGAGATCCAACCACTTATGACCTCTTAGTAAAAGCTACGGATGGGGTAAGTTATGCTCTTCCATACTGCCAGATTTGTGAATGCACTTGCAAATTTAGATGTGCTGTATGCTTCTAAATGAGAGTGCAATGAGTATGTAAAAATTGCATGAATTTGAATGAAATGTCTTATTCTTAAAGAAGGCAGAAAGTAATACTTCATGAACTGTAAATTTTGACCCAAATTAATAAAATTGGCTGTGGAATCCCCAGTTACTCCTAAACAAGTTGTTGGAAAAGTTTCCTAGTATGTGTTAGTCCCTGCTGATTTTCCTCCTCCTCTTGGAACCAGTGGACTCCAGGTTACTTCTGCTCTCTGCTTTCAATATGACTGCAGCAGTAATAAACAAGTAACTGGGGCTAGAACTGCATGACTACCGTGGGTGACAATGTTTTTCCTGGATAAATTCCTTGTCATTTCTAGCTGGCTGATGCCATTGCTGCTGTTGTGGCTGGTTGCAGCCTCCCTGAAGTGGAGTTTTCCCACTGCGCAAGGTTTGGTGTTTGGAAGTAGGTGTTCATGATATAGCAAGGGCAAGGTAGTTGTATGTACCAGAAATAGTCCATTTCAGATCTCTCTTTGGGAAGGAGGGTGAGAAGACTGTTGTGGTGGGAGCACAAGATGTCTGAAAGTGGACACCTTGTCTACTGGATGGCACGTAAAAGAAAATTTTTGTAGTGCAACTCCAGAACAACACTGCAAGAAAATTATTTGTGGGTTCATTTTGTTATGAAAGTGTCCAAAGGTGATTTACAATGTGAGGCCCAGTCAGTACTTGGCTTTACTTTCTTCTGCTTTAGCAATGAATTGTAAAGAAGCTGAAGAGAACTGTTACTGGTTGACTTCAAATGTTAAAATTAAAATAAGGACACTTTTTTAAAATGCAGTTGTGCTGGAAATACTGTATTTTTCATTAAAATGTCTGTGTTTTTTATTATAGTACACTGAAGAAACAGTGAATGTGATTTCCATAGTCATGAGTAGGTGAATTTAAGTATCTGCAGTTGGTGGTTGATATTAATTATTGCATTTTGAGAAGGTAGCAGCTGAGTGTATATTTCTGTACCGTTGAGTTTAGATATATGTGTAATAGTTAAGCAATTCATCTGCTTTTTTCTTTAGTTGTCACCATTCAGTGTTTATTTCAGAGGCTACAGAGGTATTTTCTTTTATTAACCCTGCTTTTAGCAGCATGCCTTTTCTTCCCTATACATTTCTTTAGAGGAGAAGCAATTACATAAGTATATATGTGTTTGTTTCTTGACTCATCTTATTTGAACATCTAATAACTTGACCCTGATCATTGCAGGGGGCTTGGACTAGGTGACCTTTCAAAGGTCCCTTCCAACTCAAACCATTTTATGATTTTAATTTAAGAACATAAGGGGTTTTTTTTTGTCATTAGGGCAGTGCCTGTAATCTTTATAGCAGAGGTAGGTCTGTGTGACCATTTTGTAATTTTGCTGATTTGTAATTTCCATCTTCAAGTTTATACTTGAGTATAGATAGCCAAACTTTGAAGAGTAAAGCAGTCATTATAATGTATAACAGCAGAAAATTATGGATTCATAATACTTCACTTTTCCTCTCATTCTCATATTTTGAAGCTGTATAAATATAAAGAGCACATACATGTGTCTGGAACATCCAGCTTAGTCATTAATAAAGGCTATGTGAGAGCTGGACAATGGCAGTGAGATTCTGACAGGTTTCTTAGATATTCAGTCTGGTGCAAAAGATTAATTTGGAAATGTGAAAGCAAATATGCTTACCTGAAAAAAGCTTGATGCATTTTTTAGCTGAATTATTGATCTAGTGACAAATCTTATGCCAAAAATTGAAGGAAAACAGCCAATGTATTGAAACTATATGGTATTCAGTTTTTTAAGGGGTCTGTTGTTTATCTTCTTTTAGGGACCTTGTGTTTTCAGAAGTTCAGTAATGGGGAGAAGGGTTCAATCTTTGTTTGCTTTGTCTGTGACAGACAAGACTTGATCTTTTACTGGAAGTCAGCACTTTGTAGATCCTGTAAAAAAATTGCCCATCTGACACTTAAATACTATACCACCTAAATTCAATATTAGCTTTTCAAATTTTTCAGTATACCTGAACTTTTGTTGAGCCAATCTCCACCTTTGCAGCAGAATTATAGCAAGATATTTTATCTCCTGGCATTCTGCTGCTGATTTTGATGGATTAAAGATGTTAGGTGTGGGGTTCAAAGCAAAGGCTGTGATCAGGGAGAAATGCATACAGAAAAGAGAGAGAGGAAGAGTGAAGGGTCACAGTTGACAAAGGGAGGGAGAGAGATGAAGAGAAAAGAAAATAACAAAGTTAATTAGAAATAAGGAGGAAAAGAAAGTATTTCCCAGGTGGTGTTCATGTTATCTTACAGAAAAGCTATCAGGTTCCTCCACCTGTTCATGCCCTACTCCATTACATGGTTATGGATCTTGTCAGTCTTGTCTTTTATGCATTATGTAAAGAATGTAATGAGTGAACTTAAATTTCACACGAGAGCCTTTGAAGAAGCAGGTGGAAAACAGCTTCTGTTAAACTGGTGTTAAATAAACATTCTGTGAGAGCTTGTGGGAGCACTCTCACTGATTAAGCGAAGATGAAAAGAAACATCCTTGTATCTTCCACAAGAAATGCTGGGTCTTCAGTTTTTCAGCTGCTACATCATCATTGCAAAAGGTTCAGTGCACCATCAGCAGGTGTATTAGTGACTCTTGATGCCTTTCTGCATACAAAAATACTTTGTCTCTTGGTTTTTTTTGATAAACCACCCTGCTTATCCAATTTGCTTTGTCTTTTACATCAAACTAATTGAAACCTAGATATAAGTACTTGACACTCACAGGCAAAGCTTCTGAAGAAGTTAAGGCTTTTGAAATAATTGGAGATGCCTCTCCACTTTGACAGCTTTACGACTTCAAGATGCCATATCCTTTAAATTTTAAAAAAGGAAAGTTTTTATGTCAGAGATTCTGTATCTACCAGTTTAGTTTGGAACAAAAATTTGACAGCACGGTTCACTGGCAAAAACTTTGTCAGTGAACCATGAACATCTTGATGGAGTTTTAAGCTTTTTACAGCACCAAAATGAAGAACTACAGCTATTGAAAATAGCATCATTTCTCCTAATTACGACAAAGAATCTTTCCTGTCAAAGGCAGGATAATTTTTTTGGGGGGGAGACAAAAAGGTGTACTAATAGCTTTGTATTTTAACACAAAATTGGTCCTGCTAAAGTAAAGAAAACATTTGTGGTTATTTTGACTTGATGGTGGTTTCTTATGTCCCTTTTTGTTCTCTAGGGAATACAACTGTCAGGAGTCTGACAAAGAAACCATTATAGTTGTGACTTTGTTGCATCAGACAGCATAATGGTAGTTAAAAATGCTCAAACATTTGAGATAAGGGATTTCAAAATGAACATCTGAGGCTTTCTGTTGCACATAACATTTTCTGACAAATGTAATTTTCTGTCAGCAATGGACTCATTTACACCAGCCTTCTTAATTTGGAAGATCTGTTTTGCTTGCTTCTGAGTAGATGAAGCACACCCATGTTGTTAGAAATAGAAGCACTTTGTTCCTTCTCACTTCGGATGATACTTAACAATTTTCAATAGTCAAAGAACTGGGCCATAACCAATTAATATAGTAAGTTATTAAGTGAATATCATATCTGAGTCATGTGAAGGTGTACACTGCTTCTTCAGGAAAGGAAGTTTCTGTCTCCATCATAAAACTTTGTCTACATTCTGAGAGATTAGATTCCCCCACGTACTTATAATTAATCAATTTTGAAAGACTTTGCTGTCTTTACATAAATCCATAGCATAAACACATATTGTCTGGAGAGTGGGATTTGGGTTTTTTTTCGTGTCTGTTTAGCAATAACTAAACTTGAAAGAAACAGTGTAACACAAGATCTCATGAACTTGATTTCATGCTGTTCCAACCATCTTTTTAGATGCCTTTTATTCTTGACCTCACTTCTTCCTTGGCCCTCTTTCCTTAAAAAATGTTTCTCATTTCTGTTCTAAAGTACCTAAAAATCTGTGGAGCTGCAGAACATCTTCTGATGGTGAACAGAGCACATTTCTTTCCCTCCCCCTGCCCCCTGTTTTGGCTCCTGTGCAGGGATTTCCTTACCATGGAGATCAAGGTACTGGGGAAGGGCCTTACCCTGAAGTGGGGCTGTTGGCAGTGAGCCCACTAGATCTGCACATCTCCATTTCTCTGTATTGGCATGGGGTTTGTCGTGGTCCTAGTAATTTTATGCTGATGCTAGTCTGGTACCCTTCAGAGTTCTGATCCCCAGGCTTGTGTCCTGGCTGCTGGCTGGCTCGGCAGCAGTGTGAGCTCTGGAAGCATGCCAGTCCTTTTTTTCTTCAGAAGAAAACTCAAGCACGCCAGGAGGATGCAGACCAGATCCCCTAGTTATGATTGAAACACAGACACAGGATGCACAAGATCATCTTTATTTTTCACATACTTGAGCCTTCATGGGAGTGTCACTGCTACAACATGGAAGGAAAACCCAAACCAGAACAAAGCAAAAATCACTATGGAAATGTGGAAGAGAATGCTGATAGTATTTTTTGCGCAAAAATAAGTCTGAACCTGTGGTCATAATAAGCAAACCCTTAAAAATAGTTTTGGGGGAGATTATTATGCAGCAGAGCAAGTCTAAGGGAATAGTATCCAGTCTGACTAATTGAATAGTTTCATGAAGGCCAGGTTTAAAATTAATGTACATGAATCCTTAGATTGCAGAAATGTGTAACCTAGTTGGTTTGGGGGTTTTGTTTTGTTTTAGTTTGTAAATGTCATAACTACTGTGACTGCAAAATTAAGTTTGGACTAGCTCAGCATAGCATGTGTGTCACCAACATCCGATGTGTGTCAGCAGTTTCTGTAAGTGACTGGTACAAGCACAGCGTGCTCGGCGTGACTTTGAAGAGCACAATATTTCTTCCTCCATCTGTGTCCTACTGTACTGTGTACAGCATGTGCAGACTACACACACATGTGCTGCTTTATGCCCCAGCATTCATTGTTAGCTGTGCCACAATGGAGCAGCTTTCTTTTAAAAATGTCTGTAGTTATTATGGCTGTAAAATAATCTTGCAAATATGAACCCCTCCAAACTCATGAAGGGAATCTGCAGAGGGTACAAGGTAGTGCCTCTGAGAAGTAAATTGTCATTTGTTTCACTCAGGGGCCTGTGGGGTCTACACTTCAGCACCTGAAGAATTGGGGTTTTTTTGCAGATTGTCACAACGTTCAGTGCTTTGCCATGGCAAATCAATATTTTGCTGCAGCATACTTTGATAAGCTGGCTTGCAGTTGCTTCTTGCTTCTCCAGTTTCACTCTAGAGCAAGGCTAAATGTGGTCCCATGGCTGCCCGCGTGGTATTTTAGTGGGCTTTTAGTGGGCACCTGTAGAAGGATCTCTGACTGTGTAGAGAGCACTGCAGCTGCTGGGGTCACAAAACAGGTATGATGCCAAAGCTGCAGCCAAGGCTTGGCTTTTACCAGCTCTTTGTTGTATGGAAAAGAAACAAGAACAGAGAAGGTGAGCCAAGACCCCTACAAAATATGGTGACACTTCTTTCCCTGACAAATCACAAATGCACTGGAAATAGTTTTACGTGATCAGTTATGAATGTTACATTGGCATATCACTTCAGCTACATCCTTCAGTCAATTTGATATAGTTCTGTCACTGTGTGCACCAAGTGAAGGTGTGGGTATGTAGACAAGCACACGTGCATTGTTAGAGATACACACATACACACCCTCCCCAGTATATATACACAGGTATACATATTTATATGTCTAGACATAGACACATGCTGTATGAGCAGAACTGTTTGAACCTGCCAGTGTGGTAAGTGGAGGATAGGTCTTGCACGTAGCAGTCTGACAGGTCAGCTTTTGGCTGTCCTGCACTGCTCTCAATCTGTGTCCCTAATCAGTAGCTGAAAAAGCCTCATATTCACTGTTATGATGGTAATGCTTTTAAATCTGAGAAACTCACAGATAGATAGAAGCTTTTACTGTTGCTTTACTGGAGCACCACTGTGACCCGAGTGGCACATGTTTCTGGGGTAGAAAGCCCTGATATTTATCTGTGAAGGAGTAAGTGGTGTGTTGGTGATGACAGTGAAAACATGTGAGGCTAGACTAGTGAGGTTTTTGACATGTAGTGCTCGTTAGCATTGATAAAACTGGCTTTATGTTCAGGTCTCGTCGTTCTACAAAGCTGAACTTCTTTGTGTACTCAGCCCACTGGAGTTGTGCTGAGTATGTAGCTTGCTTGCATGCAGTATTTTTGGTTATTACAGCTACAGTAAGTTGCTTTTAATGGACATTTTCATTGATCAATACTGTTGCAGCATGTTTAATTTCCTAATGATGGGCTGAAGCCAGTTATGCGTCATTCTGTTTTTAAAATTAACCTTGTTTTTTGGTTTTATCTTTCTGATTTATTCAACAGGGTGGGCTGAGTGCCCAAGCTTTTGTTCGCATCGAGATAGATGATATTAATGATAATCAACCCGTGTTTGAACAAGACACCTATGTGACAAGTATCAGCAGTCATACACAGCCAGGAACAGAAATCATCAACGTTGTTGCCACAGACAGAGATTCAGGAATATATGGCATTGTCACGTATGAACTGGTCCCAGGAGAATTTTCTTCTTTTTTCACAGTGGATACATCCACAGGTATTGTATAAATCTGTAATTCAGAAAGGTAGTAATTATACAGCATGTTTATTTTCCTTGGTGATGCTTTTTTTATTTGGGGTCATGTCATACAGTTGAAACTTAGATTCTGCTGGAAAATAATTCTAGAGGAAGGTGGAGGAAATAGGTTTAACATGAAGCCTTTGCATTCACTGAAATAAGCAGGAGAATGGAAAATACAGCACATGCTTATCCACTATTTTCAGCCATAAATCTATTAATCATTGTAAGAAATAATCAAAACATTATTTTTTACAAGAGTGTCTGAGTTCCTGAAATGTTTAGGTTTTACTCTTGAGGAACAATAAAGATCTTTCAGGATGCTTATGCTTTTGTTTCATCTCTCTGTTTCTGTTCTACTCTCTCCCCGCACTGTGCAAGGATAAATCCCTATTCTGCTCAAAGTCATACAATACTCAGTTGTCTTCCTGTTTGAGTCAATGATTAGCTTCATAAGTGTATTTTTCTGCCTTTTGCTTCCTGATGTGACTCCTTATCCTTCTGATTTTGGGATAGAGGTTCAAATCAGGAGTGATGATGAGAGCAGAAAAGCAATTATGGCAAAAACAAATCTGTGTGAATTTTTTTTGAAAACAAGTTGAATCTCACAGATTAAATTACTCTTCCTGTTGCCACAAAGCAGCCCCTGTTGTCAGCTTTCTGACCTTGAAATACTTACCAGTGTCAACTGGAAAGAACATGAGCATTGTATCTACAAATGTCCATGGTGCCTTTCAGTGAGTGGTTGAACAAACTGCAGCCACCATTTTTCTTGAGAACCAGCCCTAGTATATGACTGTATCCTGTTCAATGGATGGTCATGGCACAGGGGATTATTTTATATGTTTTAAGATTTTTTTGGACTGTGGTACATGTGTGTACATATTGGCTGTTTAGAATACAAAATGTTGCAAGGCTCTATTCTTTCAAAATTATGTGTATGTTTACACAGTTCCCAAAATATTCTGGTGAAGAGAAGAAATTAATCTTCTCAGGAAGTCAGTCTGCTTGTCTTAGCTATTTCAGAATGTATTTAACTGTGAACTTTTAACTACCTGTCCAATCAGATCCTCTGGGGCATACTGATGCCAAAAATACATAGGTCAGTCACATAATGAGGGAGCTGAATCTCCACAGGCATTTAACTGGTCATTTTAAAACTGCCCCAGCAGGCTTGTCAGAGAGCCCCTGTGGATCATGCTAGTGGCACTGGCTTTGCAGCAGCCCTCTGTTTGAAAGGCTTCTTCCTCGGGTTATGACCTTTTGGCCTCTTTTTCCAATTTGGCACTTTGTATAGGAAAAATGTCATGCTTAATCATGAAGACTCTGTAAGTTTGTAAGTCACTATTATCTTGTGGATCTATCATGGTATTTTATCAAAGGCAGACCAAATGCAGATGAAGTTGCTTGAGGTCATTAGTGCTGACATACCATGATGAGAAGAGCCTTTAGGTCAGAGACACTATTCCCAACATTGTAGTGCTTGGAATCTGATTGCACTTAATCACATCTCCTGGGTAATTCACAAGGTCAGACTGTGTCTATTTTTAACTTATTAATATTAAAGGTGTGGGATTTTTTTCTGAAGAATACACTTTTTCCTTTTATATTCTTCCGCATCTACTGACAATATTGCTTATGCTCAGTCACTGGTGAAAAGAATGATTTTTAAACTCTTTACAAAAAAACCCTTTATAAACAAAAAAGCACATATAGATTGCCAATTTGTCAAGCAGATGTTTTGCAATCTTAGTGAAGTAAATAGGTCCAAAAGCTGTTCAGTATTCAGAGGGAGATAAAACAAGAGGCTCACTGTTAGAGCACAGAGATTTTGAGCTCTTCCTGCTTACTTCTTGTTAGGACAGTGACATTTTCCAGTGTTTGTCGTGCTAAAGCTGTCTATATCTGCTCTGATATATGGCTTAATTTAGCTGTACCTCTCTGAAGGTTATGTGAGGGACTTCATGTAGTTTTGTGGGCTGCATTTTGTAAACAGAGGGCAATGGACAAGAATGTCAATAGTCATTCTTCCGGAGATGGATCCCCAAGCCCGTAAGCCAAACAAGATCCTGTTACAGTTCTGGTCCTTGGTTTTCTGATCTTGTGGATGTGCAGTCTATTACTGATGTGTTCTGCAGTTTTTTTCAATTTGCAGCATGGCATATTGTGTTTAATCTGCTCTTTTTGTTATTAGAGGACCTAAAAGGAGGTATAGTGATGGTGTTGGAGTATTCTATAAATTTGCCTAACTGATAGGTTTTATTTTTTTAAGTGATTAATTTTTCTCACTGATAGAACATTTAGGAAGGAGGAGTGAAAATCAGAGCATTAGTCATTCTGACATACTATGTTGGTTATAGCCCTTAGCATTATATGTGGAAGTGGACAAAGACATTTTCAATATTATGAGATTGAAAATAATTAGTAGGTGACAGTTTGTCACATTACACTCTGATACATTAAAATCATATGCAAGATGATGCTGTTCCCCATGGCATATGTAGTTTCTACTTCATGGCATCTCTATGGCATCTGGATTTGAAAATGTATCTCTGTGTAATTTTCTTCAGGAGTGTTTTTTGAGTCTGTAATTAGAATACTCACTTCACTTTTCTCCCCCATTCTCCCCCATTCCTTTTTTAATTTTTAAAAGAGAAATGGATAAAACACTAAAATAAAAATTGAAACCTGAATTCTTCACTGCTATGCCTTGCTTCTGGGTGTTGCTTTGTTAAAGCAATTGTATGGATATGTCAAGGAAGCTCTTGGCTTTTCAGTGAGCTGTGTTCACAATACAGGATATCCTACCAGCTGGTCAACCACTGTCTGTACAGGATATATCGATAATGCTTTTGATACATAGATATTATGAGGCTGAGCCACATCCAGCCTCTTTGAAGGGATTCTATCTTTTGTTTCAAGCACTGTGACATGTGGATGTCATACATAGATAAATTCAATGGGAGTGGGAAGTAATAGTCTTTCATTGGCCAGATAGACATTCCATTGAAAAGTTTTTTGAATTCTGAACAAGTTTTTATTAGTTATATTTGTTTGCTATTTTAGCTTTAGGACACTACATTTATTGTTTGTGATATGCTCTTGCACCCACAAATAACATTTCTTGTGTTTCCATTTGTGAAAAAAAATGAAATTAAGTATTTTTCATTTGATTGATGGTAAACTGTCCACAATCAAAAAAACATTTTAAGAACTGTGTGACTAGAAAAATGTATGCATAGCACACTGCAAAACAGTTCCTCTGCTAGCTCGTGTCTCTTGCTATTGTTTGTTTCTGCTGTTGGTGTAAACAACATCTTGGCTTCATTGTGTTTCCTTTAGTAGATATCTGATCCATGCATGATATGTGAGCAGCACTTGTGAATTGATTGGAACAGGGCAAGTTGAAGAGCTCTTGTGGCTAAGAAACTGAGTTGTTTGTTTATTCCCATTGTTGCTTAATGAGCTATCTGAAAGACAGTATATTTACAGTTATTGCTGAGCTGGTAATTAAAAATCTAAGTCACAGGATACAGTCATAAGTGTGGCAGAAAACCTGTGCAGTGCTTAACTTGAAGACTTTGGGATTAACAACTGAATTTGTAAACTTGCGTTATGTTACAAGCATTAATATTTTCCTTCACCAACGGGCATATAATTCATTTTTCCATTGATCTTAGTGATGGCCTTTTTGAGAGATGAATAAAAAGATAGTTATAATCTTACTACAGCTCATGGACACTGTTTCAAATAACGAAAATTAATAATAGTCTTTGAAAATTATTTTGGGCCAGTGTGGCATGATGTGTCAGTCTTCAGGTAAATGGTCTGTTCATAGTCTTAGAACAAATCCCCTAGCTAGTCACTGTGTGCAGATAAAACTGCCATGAAGGCAAAGTCAAAGGCAGCAGCCAGTGTTTCATCTTCATTTGAAGGTAGTTGTGATTTAAACCTAGTATGAAAAGGATGTAGAGAAAGTATCATTCTTACAGTGTATATTACAACAGTATAAACATTTAACTTAAGCTTCTGTTTCTTTTGACTTTGTAAGATATTTAGGCTTGTGTTTCTGTGATTCCTGTCTAAATTAGATGCCTAAAACAAAGACTGTGACCTTCCTTCTGTGCATTTTATTGAGAATGTTTCTATGAACATGGTGGCTTGACCTTGGCTGGACACCAGGTGCCCACCAAAGTCATTCTATCACTCCTCTCCTCAGTCAGACAAGGGTAGAAAAAGATGATAAAAGGCTTGTGGGTCAAGATAAGGGCAGGGAGAAATCACTGAGCAATTACTGTCATGGGCAAAAGAGACTCAACTTGGGGAGATTTATTGTCAATCAAATCAGAGTAGGGAAATGAGAAATAAAAACGACATCTTAAAACACCTTCCCCCCACCCTTCCTTTATTCCTGAGCTCAAATTCACTCCCAATTTTTTCTACCTCATCCTGCCCCAGCAGCGCAGGGGATGGGAAATGGAGGCTGTGCCGTTCATCACAGGTTGTCTCTGCTGCTCCTTTCTCCTCACACTTTTCCTCTGCTCTAGCATTGGTCCTTTTCAAGGGGTGCAGTCCTTCAGGAACAGAATGATCCAGTGTGGGCCTCCCACAAAGTCCTGCCAGCAAACCTTCTCTGGCACAGGCTTCCCACAGGGTCACAACCTTCTTCAGGCATCCACGTAGTGCAATGTGAGGTCCTCCGTGGTTGCCAGGTGTATATCTGCTCCAACATGGACCTCCATGGGCTACAGGGAGACATCCTGTCTCACTGCATCTTCACCACAGGCTGCTGGGAAATCTCTGCTCCAGTGCACCCTCTCTCTTCTTCACTGACCTTAGTGTCTGCGAGGCTGTTGCTCTCACATATGGTCATTCCTCTGGCTTCATTGGATGTGAGGGAAGCTTCTGGCAGCTTCTTGCAGAAGCCACCCCTATAGCCCCTCTGCTACCAAACCCTTGCCACGCAGACCCAATACAGT